TGTAAAAACTTAAACTTAATATTTGTAATTATCCTAAAGTTGTTTAGTTTTGAGTTAAAAAATAAAAAATTATGAAGCATCTGAATTTTTTTTTCAGTGCTAATCAATACGAGACTGGTTGTGTTAGTTTAGTTTCATGTCTGAAACTTGCGAGATTTCACTCAACTTCGTAAATTAATAAACTTAAACTCCTCAAACTCTCTAAACTTGAAACAAACACAAAGGGAAAACCATTTATTTATTCCAATTTAATTTTCACAAATTATCATTGATTGCTTTGAGGAGGGGATACTTCCCCCCACATTTCCCCAAGAAATCATCAGTGTCCAGGGACCAAACCATCGCTCCCCCCAACCCCTTCTCCTTCGCAAACTGCATTTTCAATTGGACTGATTTAACGTTATCGAAACCGACCCATTGGTCCCCCTTGACTCGTCTTGGAACCTTCTGTTCCTCGTCCCATGTCTCCTCCCAGTCGCTGTAAATGGCACAAATCTGGAAAAAATGGGTTATTTTGGTAAAATATGGGCAAAAATTTGGGCACCTCGTTGTAACCCAGCATGCCGGCTTCGTCGGTGTAAGGGCCTGGTTGGCCGGTACCAGTGACAGGGGCGTACAAATCGGTGTTTGATGGGTCAGCTAGGGTGAAACTGCGTCCATAGGTACCAATCCCGATGTTGATTTTTGCTGGGTTGGCACCCAAGTCGATCCAGTGTTGGATTCCTGCAGCCTGGAGAAATTTAAATTAAGTTGGCTACAATGAGAAACATAGTTAACAAGACTTAAAAAAAGAAAAAAATAACAAAACAAACAAAATTTAATAATCATGAAAATTATAGAAAATACTAATTAACAAATGATAAAAAAAGATAATAATAAAAAAAAATTTGAAAAAAAAAATTGTGAATAAAGTAAAAAACTTGTAAAAGGATTTAAAGTAGGTACACAAAAGATCTAGAATAAAACCTTCAAATCCTTTGATCTTGAAATGTTAGAAGATAATCTAGAAAATAAATAAACTCTAAATAATGTAGAGAATCCAGTCAAATCTAGAGAAAATTAAGCAAAAAAATGCAACAGAATATAGAAAAAAATCTAAAAAATATAAAAATCCAGAAATATTTTAAACAAAATCTCAAAAAAAAATCTACAAAAAAATATATAAATTAGAAGAGTAACAATTTTATATTTAGAAAAAATAGAATCTAGAAGAAATTTATGAAAAAAATTTGGAGAATAATCTGAAAAGTAAGCAAAAATATAAAAATATAGTTAAAAGAGTAAAAAAATAAACTAGAAAAAATAGTAAAAAGTATTAGAGAAGCTAGAGCAGAGTTTAAAAAGAGAACAAATCTCGAAAATTATTAGGGTGAAAACCGTCCATCTAGAAAAAAAACTTCAAAAAAACAGAAAATAAATTGTAAAAAATGTGAAAATTTTGTAGTATCTTCAGAAAAGTGCAGAGAAATCTAGAACGTAATCTAAAAAAAATTCCTGACAAAATTTTGGAGAACATTCTAGAAAACAATAAAAAAATATTAGACAAAATATAGTTTTAGTCTAAAAAATAATTTTAAAAAAATGTCAAAAAGAAGATAACGAAAAATCTAGAGCAGAGTTTAAAAGAAAAATAAATCTAAAGAAAAGTAAAAAAAGAATCTAGAGTTAAAAAAAAACAAAAAAAGAAGATTTAGAATCGATATAATAATAATTTTAAAAAAATCTCAAAAAGAAAACAAAGAAAAATCTAGAAAAAAGTTTAAAGTAAATAAATAAAATAAATCGAATGAAGAGTCTAAAAAAATCTAGAAAAGAATTAAAAAATAAAAAAAAGATTTAGAACCGAATCTAGAAAAAATCCTAGAAAAAATCCTAGAAAAAACAAGTTTGAGAATAAAGTTAAAAACTTGGAAAAAGATCTCGAATACACAGAAAGATCTAAAAATTATCTAGAATTTAATCTAGAAAAGATTTTGAAAAGGTTAAAAGATTATCTAAAAAATAATAAAAAACTAAAAATTATAATCTGTAGTAAAATACATAGAATAAAGAAAAGCAAGTATAAAAATAAAATTTATTGACAAATTCGAAGAAAAAAAGATTTAGAACAAAATAAAACCTACAAAAACAGAAAACAAAGTTGAAAAAAGTACAAAAAGATCTAAAACAAAATCTAGAACAAACTTATTAAAAAAATGGAAAAATAATCTGAAAAGTAAGTAGAAAATATAAAAATATAGCTTAAGCGAGAATCTAAAAAGATAAACTAAAAGAAAATATAAAAAAGTATTAGAGAAGCTAGAGCAGATTTTAACAAATCTAGAGAATAATCTAAAAAAATCGAAAAAATCTCGAAAATTATTAGGGTAAAAAACTTAAAATTAGACAGTATTTAGAAAAAAACTACAAAAAATAGAAAATAAACTGAAATAAAGTGTAAAAATTTTGCAGTATTTATAGAAAAGTGCAGACATCTAGAACAAAATGTTCAAAATGACAAAATTTTAGAGAACATTCTAGGAAAGAATGAAAAAATATTAGAAATAGTCAAAAAAATCTCAAAAGGAAATAAGGAACAATCTAAAGCAGAGTTTAAAGGAAAAATAAATCTAAACGAGTTAAAAAAAACAAAAAAAAAGGAGTTAAAAACTTGGAAAAAGATATAGAATACACAAAAAGATTTTAAAATAATCTAGA